CCATGTCGCCACAGCTTCACACCCAAGTGACTGCTTCCCATCGACTCTTCTGTCTGGCTTTGCCAGAGAGAATAACCGACAGCTCCTTTACTTCAGCAAATGCAACAGCTGTCTGTCGGCTCTATCTGAACATGGGCTCTGACTCCAACAACCTCTCAGGACACCCTCTATTACCACCCCCACCCCAGCAACATCATCTCCAACTACATCATGGCAACGAGCTCCCAGCCGGGCTCCCTGCTTCAGTCTCTGGTGCCCAWACCGCAACACGACAGTCAGAATAATCTGTTAAAGAACACTGCTCAGATCACACCATGGCTCTGCTTAGAATCTTCCAATGGTTTCCCTATTAGGAAGCAGMCAAAGTCCTTCCAGGAGACCACAAGGTCCCTTATTGGCTGGCCCCTGGCTCATTCTCTAACCTCCTCTCCTAGGACCCCCCTGTTCACTTGGTCCCAGCACCATGGGCCTCCAAGGTGCCTTATCCAACACCGTGGTTCTCCAGCGTGAGTGTACCTCGGAATCGTCTGGAGAGCTTGCTAAAGAACAGATGGGGAGCTGGGGTTGCGGCTCAGCGGTAGAGCAATGGCCTAGCAAGTGCGAGGCCCTGGGTTCAATCCTCAGCACCATATAAAAATAAATAAATTTAAAAAAAGGTATTGTGTCTGACTACAACTAAAAAATAAATATTAAAAAAAAAAAACTAAAAACAGATGGCCAGGTCATCCCTACCCCCACATTTCAACTCAGTGCTTTGGAAGAGGGCTGAGAAGTGGCACTTCTAACACATCTCTGACACTGATGGTCAGAAGACTGCTCTAGAACCTTCTATCCAACAGCAACTACAGGCCCAGCCTTGGGCTGTGCATTGCCTGGGACCTTCCTAGCTCAGCCTTGGAGGTTCACTTTCTTATTTCTCTCTGTTTATGTCTGATATATCTCTTTAGTGACACAATTCTGAAACTACAGAAGACAACTCCAGCCTTATCTCCTCAAAGAAAGGCTCAGTGAAGTCCGCCCTGCAGTGGGGACCTTAGCAATATGCTCCCTGTGCTGAGCCGAGCAGCTTTGGAATTCCCCTCTATTAATGTGAATACAAAAATGCACATAAACAGACATACCTAGCACGAAATAGAACACGGCAGATGAAKTTTAAAAGAAGATTAAGATTAAATTCACTTCCAGGAGATTTAATGGTAAGGTGATCAAATGAACCAGCAAAACTTCATTTGCAGTCAATTCTTTCTGAACCAGATTCCCTACAGCATGGCCTATTTTAAAATGGACCGGCATTTTAATCTATCACTTGAATCTAAACAAAGCTGGACAGTGCTCAAGAACGCTTTCAGAGGTCTTTTCTTTAAGGTAAGCGAACCAGAACTTCACTCTTCCTGGCAAAGTGGCTCAGAAGCCTGCCTCACTCTATCTATCAGAGCAAAGTTCATTTTCCAACAAGTGAAACTGGAGCCACCTTTCAACTTCCATTCCTTAACTTTCCTCTTCCTTGACTGTTGCCACTTCTGTTTTCAAGACCTTTATTCTCTCCTGCCAAAAGGACTCTTGGATTGAGTTCCACCTAAGTGACCCACGAGTTCTCACAAGAAAATGAAGTGGGGAAAGCAGCAGGTAGGAGACCTGTGMGCAATTTCACTAACTCTCAGAACCTCAGTGAAGCTACGTGGGTTTCTTCTCTCTCTTCTTAAAGATAAAACTTCAGATATTCTCGACACACAGTCCAGCTGGTGTCAAAGGATCAAGTGTTAAAATCAATATTCASTGTCACTAAATGTCATCATATAATGAACTAATGGGATACAAGAATAAATATGAAACTCAAATTTTGAGCATTTTATCATAATTTCATTATTAGAATTTTTTAAAAAATGATTTTTTTAGTACTGAGAGCTGCTAGATGACCTTGTGGTTACCATTCTCATATCTGCAATGCTAGGTACTTTCCAACCAAGTCACTGAAGAACCAAGATTATTTTAGGCTAGCTTTGTCAGTCTAGATGGTGCTATGAACAGTGTCACCAAATTATTAGACTTTCTTTCCTATCAGGGATAGTCTAATAATTTTGCTGAGATCAAAGACTGATCTTCAAGCCCCAGTATAACTACGGCCCCAAAAGATTACAGTTGACAGTGATGATACAATCGTTGAAATAATTCCAAAACTGAAGCTTTGTGAACCATTTGAAGAGGATGCTTTCTAATATCCTCAGGTGACTATAATTGTCCTAATTTATGTTTTTATTTTAATTATTGAAATGCATTTATGGCTTTATGATATCACTTGAGAAAAAAATTATCCTTTTRTTTAAGGACATTGGATCTAAAAGTRTATGGAAGTAGAGGAATATAACTGGCTTTAAAGATACCAAAAAAGGTAAGGAATCTCTAACTACATGTCCATTTTTATTGCCAATTTCAGTATCTTCCCAAAAGTAGAATGATAGAATTTTTGTAACAGGTGTCATGTAAAAAATATTTGCACACTTCAAGGTATATCCACTTGGTTACTTCACAAAGTTACAGTCAAAGAACTGCTTTTTTCTGCAAACAGCCACTGGTTATTAGTTAGTAAGTCCTATTATGTTGGTATTGTTACCTGAAGAATGTAATATTAAGTCTCTTTTGTTCAAGGAACTGTTTTAAATGTATATCTTCTTTTCTATCTTGTTTCAATAACTTGCAGAAGTATCTAACAAGGCAGGTTCAAATTCTCTTTTATGTCATGTAATTTTTCAAAATTTAAATAAAGCTTTCATTCCTAGACTCTGGATCAATAATACTCTAAATCTGGGAAAGAGGGGCCCTAGCTCTGAGACTTCAGGTTTAGAGGGCTCCACCTTGGCCCTCCTTTAGCTATGTCCCTCCACTAAGGACAGGCATTCACAGCCCCCCCCCCCGGCTCTGCCCACCTGAGATCTAAGCCTGTGCCTCTCCCATCTCCAGGCCATCCTCTGGATGCCCAGGACCATAAAGTTCCCTGTCCAAGTAGCYTGGAGCCCCTTGTTGACTTCTCCCTCCAGCTGGTGCTGCTGAACGCAGATCATGCCACCAGTAAGTGCAGGCCCAATCCAAGGAGTGCGGGGTGGTTGCTGCTGAAGGCACAGCTGAGGGTGGATGTGAGGCCTGAGATGGGCACAAAGCCTTTCAAAGTGCCATGCAGACAGCCAGGGGGAAGGGGCTGGCCTCAGACCAGAGCCCGGCGGTCTCCACACCACCAGCTCCAATGCAGAAGCCAAGATGAACAAGAATTCTGAATGTGCTCTTGGACTTATAGGTCTTCTTACAGATACACTAGGGGTTGGGTTTGGTTTTGCCTTACAGGGCTGGGGGCCTACACAAACCCAGGCCTTGAACAGGCAAGTGCTAAAGATACATTTGTTAAGGGAGAGAGAAAGATTTTTTAGTAAGGTTCAAAAATTGTTGTGTAACTTTAAACTATGTAGATCTGTCTTGAATCTCCATGTGAATTCTGCCCACAGACCATTCTGGAAGGTAGGATACGACCTTATCACACTGATAAACAGCACTAACTGGGAGGTCTCTTCTTCTTAGATTTTGACGTGGCTGACTCATTTTTATGATTCAGGTTCCAGCTCACCTGTCACCTCCTGGGTGGAGCCTCCACGTGTAACCTGGAGCAGCCCTCAGAATCACCCTTCCACAGCACCCATTCTTTTTTCTTCACTACCTTTACTGATATCCGGAGTGATTTATGTACACTCCATCTGCCTTGTTAACTTATGGACTAGATGGACTTTACCTTAGTCCAGGGGTTATTGTTGCATATTTCATGGTGCAGATCGTCCCAGATCTGGCCAGGACACTGCCTTGTATCTTTTTTTTGTCATTTCCCTGTTTTGGGGTTGTTTTTTTTTTTTTAAGTACTTCTTTATTTTCTGGCACAAGATGTTCCAGGTTCATTTTGTACTTTTCTGATGCAGCCCARGGAGCTTTTATCGCTCTCTAGTCCTTTCAATATTCAATAATCACAGTGACTACATGCTATAGGCTAACGGGAAGTTACCAAAGTAATTCTACTCTATGAGGTTTAGCTCCACCTACACGACTAGCCAAGTGACTAGAGATCATCCCGAGTCACGAGCTAACTTAAAGAGTAATTTACGATCCTAGAATTTCCCCTAAAGAAGAAAAAGTACAAAAGGATGTTCATACAGATTTGCTTATATTAGTAGATCATTAGAAAGAGCTCACATTTCCAATGCTGGATGAATCCAACTGTTGCAGAGTACTACAACATGAAAGTACAGAGCTAATGAAGACAATGACACTGACATGGAAATATGACCAGGATGTATTCTTAAGTGGAGATCACAGATTATAAAAGAGAACATACAGGATTCCAGTTTCTTTTTAAAATGCCCAATGTTATATACATTATGATATCCCTATCCACATATAAATACAGATATGAAAGTATAGGGCTGGGGTTGTGGCTCAGTGGTAGAGCGCTCACCTAGCACGTGMGAGGCCCTGGGCTCGATCCTCAGCACCACAAAAAAATAAATAAGCAAAATAAAGGTATTGTGTAAAACTAAAAAAATAAATATTTAAAAAAGGATGAAGGTATAGAAGAATCTACACCAAAATATTACTAGTGGTCATGTCCAGGTGGAAAAGTAAGGTGGTTGGGATTTTCTTTATTCTTTTCTCTCTTTTCATTTTTATAATAAGCATATGTTGCTTTAACAATCATGGAAATTTTAAATATCATTCAGCCGGTCAGACTCTGAGCATCTGACTTACCCCATCAAAGGAGACAAGTAGGTTACTTCTCGTGACAAACACAGGTCTCTAGCTCTCAGATCAGACAACCCTGAGGACACTCAACTTATGGGATCAGTTACAACCCTAAGGGACAGAGACTCAGACAGACAGAGGGAAAAACTTTTTTCCTGATACAAGTTCTTCCTAATAAAGGAAATAGTATAAGTGATACAAACACTATGAGGTAGGAAAAAACTTACTGCGGTGGACAATCTGGATGCCAGTGTCATTTCCAAGTTCCCTTTGAGACCGAGAAGGGCAGGAACTAAAATGAAAACTTCTGTTACGTTTTTGAACACCTCCCAGTGCTGAAAAAAAAAAATTTAAAAAATAAGAAAAATAAAAATTTCCGATGTTATTTAAAAACCACCTTAAAACAAAGACATTTCGAAAAATCCCCTTTCTCCCCACTCCCCAACTTTGCACTGACATTCTGAAGTGCCACACTGGTCACCAAAACTGGGAACATATAGCTTAGCCCTACCTGCTGTGCGTTGGGGCTTTAGAAGACTCAGGGGCAGTAGTGGTGACAGCCAACAGTCACTACCTCACATTCTATACTAGCACACAACACACAATCCCAAAACTTGTGAATTTTTCATCAGTAAGAGTTAGCATTAACTAGGTTAAAAGCACAGGCTCTAAAACCAGACTTTTTGAATTTGAACTTTGGTTCCAACACTAATTACAACAACCTCACAAGAAAATTACACTACTATGATTACCAAATTTCACAAATTAAGAAATAAAGATTCAGGGGCTGGGGTTGTGGCTCAGTAGTATGCAGCTCGCCTAGCACATGAGAGGCACTGGGTTCGATCCTCAGCACCACATAAAAAGAAATAAATAAAATAAAAAGGTACTGTGATCAACTACAACGAAGAAAATACATTTAAAAAARGAAATAAAATAAATTATGCTAGATGGCATACTCCTGTCATTCCACCAGCTCAGGAGGCTGAGGCGGGAGGACTGCTAGTTCAAGGCCAGCCTCAGCAATTTAGCAAGGTCCTAAGCAACTTAGTGAGACCCTGTCTCAAAAATATAAAGGGGGGCTGGGGATGTGGCTCAAGCGGTAACATGCTTGCCTGGCATGYGCGCGGCGCTGGGTTGGATCCTCAGCATCACATACAAATAAAGATGTTGTGTCAGCCAAAATCTAAAAAATAAAATATTAAAAAATTCTCTCTCTCTCTCTTAAAAAAAAATATAAAGGGCTAGGGATGAGGCTCAATGATGTGAATAAGTGCCCCGGGGTTAAATTCCCAGTACCAAAAAATAATATAAAAAAGGAAGATCCAGACATATTCAATGATTTTCCCAAGGTCAAAAGATGGGAATGCAATTGACTTCAGGAGTTCTGAGCAGTCCTGGGTTCTGTCCCCCTATTTTAGGGTGTGAAGCCAAGAGGGTGTAGAATACAAGATCATAAACAGCACTAAACCAGAATAATAAAATTTTAATAATATTATCAATGATAGTAAATAAAATTTGGGTTTTTAAATTTTTTTTGTAGTTGTAGATAGACAGAATGCCTTTATTTTATTCGTTTATTTTTATGTGGTGCTGAGGATCCAACCCAGTGCCTCATGCATGCTAGGCAAGCGCTCTGCAGCTGAGCCACAGCCCCAGCCCCTAAAGTTTGTTTTTCTGGCCATGGATCTGTCACAACCTAGCTGCATGATCCTAGATGACTCACATTATCTTTCTAATCTTAATTTTTCATTTATGAAATGAAGATAACATCCACCCTGTCTAGCCCTTGAAGAAATACTGACAGTTAAATAAGAGATAAGAAAGTACTTACRCTAAACTGAAAAGACCACATAAATACTTTAATAACACAAAATGATATTTTACAAATGCTATTAAGATATGATTGCCCCAGTAGGAGATTTTATGGGCTAAGAATAGTAACTTCATGCCAAAAAGTATCAGGAACACACATCTTATCACTAATACCAAGACAGGTGAGAAAATAAAATTTAAACCCATCAGATAAATGAAAGAAAAGTACAATTTGTTCCCAAAGTTTCCCTATAGGCTATTCCAAACAAGTGTATAACTGGGAAGCTGGGTGCAGTAGTACACACCTATAATCCCAGCAACTCAGGAGGCTGAGGCACGAGGATGCAAAGCCAGCCTCAACAATGAAGAGAGGCCCTGTCTCATAATAAAAAATAAAAAGGGTTGGGGAGGTGGCTCAGTGGTAAAGCACCTCTGCGTTCAAAAAATAATAATTAAAAAAGTATAACTGGGGCTTAAAGAGTTCAGAAATGTTTGTCAGATCAGTCTTCTATAAAATCCCAGTTAAAAGATCCAACTAAGGATATGGGGAGGGGCGGGGGGGGAGTGAGGGCAGGCCAGAGACGTAGCTCAGTGGTAAAGCACTTATCTGGCATATACAAGGCCCTGGGTTCCGTCCCTAGCGCAAATGCACGTGCGCACACACATGCACACACACATGCACACACACACAAAGAAAGAAAGAAAGCAAGCACTGGGATTCCAGTGGCACCCTAGATCTCTAGTCTTAATAAAAATAGGTAATCAGTGTTGTCCATATTTTCTAATGGGTTAAAATTCTCCTATGGAGACCTGGGGAGGTAGCTCAGGGGCAGAGTACTTGCCTAGTGAGGCCCTGGTCTCCATCTCCAGAGCCTCACACACAAAAAAAATTGAGTGTGCTAATAGAATAGCCTCCTTCCACGCCGGAATGATAGTGATGGCCATGACGATGTGAATAACAGGTGACAACAGTGACACTAACAGTATCTAACATGCACTCACTGCTCCAGACCCTGTTCTTTAGACTCCCGCATTTCATCTCCACCGCAGACCTAGGAGCCAAGTACTGCTTTTATCAAATCCCAGACATGACTCTAGAATACATTTTGGATCATTTTTCTCACACCTACCTAGATAGATACAATGGGCTGATGTCACACTTAGGGCCTGCTGAGATGTACCCCTTTGGGCTACTCTTTTCTAGTCCAATTCAAATCAAAAATTTATAACCAAACAGAATTACTACTAAATTTATAACCCAACAACTCGGCACTGGTGTGAGAGCAGTGAGAGATGTGAATCACTGGGCTGGGGATGTGGCTCAAGCGGTAGCGCGCCCGTCTGGCATGCGTGCGGCCCGGGTTCGATCCTCAGCACCACAT